TGACCTGTCTTTGCTTTGTTTTAGTAGACTAGTATTTTGTAAAATACAGTCACATTTCAATTGTTATACATTATATATGTATATACATTATTTCTACTTACAAATAAGTTTTTAAACTTATTTTTCTTAAAACATAGAACAGTAAATAAAGAAGTAAAGTAAACAATTATCTCTTCTAGTTACAACCTTTTTTACTTGGTTACTGCCTGTCGGAACTTGCTAAGCCCTTTAAAATTTTGCATGTGGAGGATGTCAAACAAAATAATTTTTTATATGAACAGTTGAATAACCAAAAAATCATAAATTACTATATCAATACTATAGAATTCCACTATAATTTATCAAACTTAGTAACTAAGCTGTATTTGGGTATAAAAAATATGAAATTTGGAACAGGTTAAAGATTCAACTTACCAGCACGAAGATTTGACTCGAAAGAAAGAGATGACATTGTTATATTTCAAAATGGCTGTGAAAGCCACTAGGGGGACATTCTGAGCTTTCGATTGGTTAATCACATCATATATAGAAGTAAGTGTATATAAGGGACCGTTTCCAAAAATGGAAAGAGATGAGCCGGGCCACTGTATTTGATTCAGTACAAGAGTGATATCTCAACAAATAGAAAAGATACGACATTGTTACTTTATATTCTATCTTGTCAATATTGGTAATTTGAGTTCCTAATTTGTACAAAACTACAGACTTTGTATTTTGACATCACAAACATCTAATTTGAACCAGTACTACATTCAACATACCACGTGACACACAAAAATCGATGTTCATCTGTATTTTTTAATATTTACTTTTAAATTAAGAAATTTAGTAATGTATAATACCAAAATCTGAATTATAATCTACAGTTTGATTCCAAACTTAATGACATAAATTCATAAAATAGTATATCAATAAAGTTTTGAATGCGAGTCAACAAACGAGATGACATGGCCTTTGACCCGTGATCCGTCTGGAAAGTGCAGTTATCAAAATCAATAATTTTCCAACCCTGCAACTTCACTTCTATTATACCTCCCATTAAAAACATTTCATATGAATTAAAATAAATTCTGTATCCTGGAAGTTAAATTCTGGTTGACAAAAAACATTTATGTTACAAAAATAACCACATAAAACATTGTTAGTATAAACTTATAATTCAAAAGTGGTAACAAAAATAACCACATAAAACATTGTTAGTATAATTTTATAATTCAAAAGTGGTAACAAAAATAACCACATAAAACATTGTTAGTATAAACTTATAATTCAAAAGTGGTAACAAAAATAACCACATAAAAACATTGTTAGTATAAGTTTATAATTCAAAAGTGGTAACAAAAATAATCACATAAAACATTGTTAGTATAAGTTTATAATTCAAAAGTGGTAACAAAAATAATCACATAAAACATTGTTAGTATAAGTTTATAATTCAAAAGTGGTAACAAAAATAATCACATAAAACATTGTTAGTATAAACTTATAATTCAAAAGTTTTTGAAGTCAATACTCTGGTAAGTTGCAAATGACCGGATAAAATTCTACACTAACCTTATGATCAACATGATCATTATCTGATCCAACCATCTGTGCCACAGTCTTTCCTTTCTTTTTTGGAGATTTATTCTTTTTGCTATTTTCTTTTAATCGATCAGATTTTTTAATGTCATCTTGTGTTGTATCCTTAATATCAGGATTCAGTAGCTGATTATACAAGTTGGTCAACAAAACATCTGGGCCGTTACGTAGGAGCTAGTAAAAGAAGACATCAGTTACATTAAAAGCCACAAACTAGAATATTCAGTATTGAATTATCCCGATCTTGTGAACTAAAAAATAAAAGTTGTATTCTTCATTTATAAACTCTAACAAATAAATATTGCACCTCTCATTATCTCACATTGAGAAGTTCACTTTTTGATCTGAATTTTCTAGGCCCTATATAATATTTTTCATATTTAAATATACTTTACCACTGAATTTCCTAGGGTCCATATAACATAGAAATATTGTAATTAATGTATATATATATATTTTATTTAATCGAAACCATAAGAACTTCAATACAAACACAATATCTTTTTCTTATGTTTCTAAAACATTCAAGACTGATGCTTTGGTTCTCACAGATTATAGCACAAGTAGACCTTGATTTTTCTCTATAAAATACTTAAAACTTACATCTTTAACCTGAAAATGAGTTCTTTCATCTTCTACAACAATTAACACGGGGGCTGTATCTTCCAAAGATTTGACATCCTCCTGGATTTCAGTTAAAACTTCGATCAGAGTTTCCCATTTTGGACTAACCTCTGGCTTTACTGATGAAAATGGCCAAAAATTATTTCTAAACTTTCAATTAGTTAATCTCATGTCGCTTTAAAGCACAAAAGTGTTTAAAATCATGAAAGACACTACAATATTATATAGAAAGTGTAACGAATTTCTAAAAATGACCCCAAAACTCGAGCAATTACGAAAAGTTGACTTTACTTTTTCAGGAGGATAAACGGTGATGATTAGCGGGTGCAATGTAACATACAGGTGCAAATGTCGATGTCACATAAAGGGTTATTCTCCTGAAGAAAAATGATCAACTATTTGAAAGTGCTCAAATATTGGGGTCTTTTTTTTAAAAAAATTCAATGCACCTTTTGTGTGTGTGTGATCCTATGCGCTAACTTTTTTTATCAGAATATACGAAATATTTCATTATACACTACGCAGAAACATCGGGTTCCACTTCTTTTATAAAAATTTATTGTTTAATATTAAAATGAAGAATCTTACCAAAAACTTTTGCTCCACCAGCAGTTTTGGCTATCTTGTTTTTATTTTCAGACCCAAAAACTCGTGCTCGAGCTTGCTACAATGATAGCATGAATAATTTAGTTTGTTATAATACTAAACTTTAATTTAAAATTTACTTTCATTTTCAACACAAACTAACGACAATAATGCATGCAATTTGAGAATTTCTGAGGGCCACAGCATATGAAACACATCTGTATCTAAATAAAAAAAGTCATGTCGATAATTTTTACATTTAACACTCAAAAGAATTTTTAATTCTTAATTAATTTTATATGCACGAGTCTCAACAGCTGGTTTTTAAAAACAGAAATATTTAACGCCCTCTTTTAAGTTACAGCTGTCTGCTTCTGTTTTTTAAATATGACTTTCTAAACAAGACTTTAGTCTGAATGATGCAAAAAACCTGTACTTACTAAAAACATATTTTCAGCAGCATCCAAAAATAACCAATCAGATATCTGGAAATTATTGGTTACATTGTCTCTGAAAATATAAAAATAGTCATAACATTAGAAGTTTAAACAACTAATCCTGTTATTAGATAAATACATCTGAATTTCTTGTTAACGTCGGAGAAATTGAACAATTACATCATAATCACCAACTTATCATCTTGTTAATATTAACATGTTAATGTTTTCTAATTAAAAAACACTAATGAGATTAGTTAAACCTTTCACAAATAAATATTATTTTTTATTGATTGACTCTTCCAAGTATATTCCTCACTTCTTGTTATCCACATTTTATTGAAAGAACAATTTATCCAAGAACAAGTTTCATTGCAGAAAACAAAATAATACCTTTATTATACAGTAAAAGCTTTATTATCTGGCATCAGTCCTGGGTAGTGTCGAATAGGCAAAAATTCCAGTTACGAAAGGGTTTCCCTTACAATATTTTACAGGAAAGATTATGAAGTCTTGCTAATTTTCAACAGTACAGTATTTATACATCATCTATTAAATATTGTAAAAAAATATTAAACCGTTTATAAGTACAGTATTTTAAATGTGAATCACAGTACAGACAGCTAACAACTGTAGCTTGCTGGCGGAAAAGAACGTAAACAAAGTCAGAGCAGCTACAATAAGCATTTGTATTTGGCAATATCGAAATTTCCAGTTACAAGTGTTTTCCAGATGCGAAGATGATGGTTAACAAAACTTTTACTGTACTAAGAAAGTAATATGACATATTTATTATCGAAATAATGTTTCAATAACTCTGGGTCAACTTTCTGTTTTATTCAAGTAATTACTTTATTTCCAATATCTATCTTGAAAATAAATATACACAAATACAAGTATCTCACAATAAACATACATTTACCTAACTGTACACATGGTTAAAAAAAAACAGCCTTTATAATTTATTCTTATATTGTAATTAATATTTCTTTTCTGTGATTTATAAAAAATTTATTTCTTTTACTATATAATTTAACATAAATACACAAGATTAATATAAAATTATATGTATAAACGTTTCCTTTTTAACCTGTAAAGAAGCTGAGATTTTTAAATGCTTACTTGTTCCATTTTTATTAGCCATCAATGAAACGATTACTATTTACAAATCAAAATTAATCAATTAGTGAACTTTCAATATAACAACAAAAACTGGTCAATATTGCTCCTTTGAAGTGTGAAAAACATTGGATAAAAAATTTCATCTAATGTAGCAAAGGTTTTTGTTAGTTTATTGGACATCTAATGCTCCAAATTCTTTTGGAGAAGTATTAAGGAAACATTATTATAATATCTCCTGATAAAAAGGCCTAATTCAATTATTGTGGAGTAGACAGGTTTTTAGTTGTTTCTGTACTTATTTCTTACACTCTACTTATCACAGCTTTAAAATACACAAGATTAAAACCTACCAAAATCTGATCACAAAACATCAGAAAATTACATGATTAATTAATATTTTAACTTTATGTAACCAAGACCAATTTGAAACAGTTTGGGTTTGGTTATTTTGGATAATCCTACAAAGCTACACGAGGCTATCGGCACTAATCATCTTTAATTTTCAACAGCATCCATTGCCAACTCTTGGGCTACTCTAGTCAAATAGTGGGATTTCACCATAAATGAACCCACAGTTCCAAAATTTGGAGCACACTCCTACAGTAAGGAGATGCAAACCTTTGACCCTAGGTCAGGCACACTAGGTCAAACTTATTCAAAGAAATTGGGAAATAATCACAATTACTTCTGCTTACCTAATGGACTTGAGGAGGCTGTAAAATGTTACACAATCATACTGGGTCAAGTATCTGCAAAGAAGTAGAACAACCAATTAACATTCACGTTAGTTCATAGTTAAAAGTGATTGGAGGGTCAAACTGTGTTATATAACAGCTGATTGGAAGGTTAAACTGTGCTACATAACAACTGATTGGAAAATTAAACTGTGCTACATAACAACTGATTGGAAGATTAAACTGTGCTACATAACAGCTGATTGGAAGATTAAACTGTGCTACATAATAGCTGATTGGAAGACTAAACTGTGCTACATAACAACTGATTGGAAGGTCAAACTGTGCTACATAACAGCTGAATGGAAGGTTAAACTGTGCTACATAACAGCTGATTGGAAGGTTAAACTGTGTTACATAACAGCTGATTGGAAGATTAAACTGTGCTACATAACAGCTGATTGGAAGATTAAACTGTGCTACATAACAGCTGATTGGAAGATTAAACTGTGCTACATAACAGCTGATTGGAAGATTAAACTGTGCTACATAACAGCTGATTGGAAGATTAAACTGTGTTACATAACAGCTGATTGGAAGACTAAACTGTGTTACATAACAGCTGATTGGAAGACTAAACTGTGTTACATAACAGCTGATTGGAAGGTTAAACTGTGTTATATAACACCTGGTTGGAAGATTAAACTGTGTTATATAACAACTGGTTGGAAGATTAAACTGTGTTATATAACAACTGGTTGGAAGATTAAACTGTGTTATGTAACAACTGATTGGAAGATTAAACTGTTTACATAACACCTGGTTGGAAGATTAAACTGTGTTATATAACACCTGGTTGGAAGATTAAACTGTGTTATATAACAGCTGATTGGAAGGTCAAACTGTGCTACATAACAACTGATTGGAAGATTAAACTGTGTTATATAACACCTGGTTGGAAGATTAAACTGTGCTACATAACAGCTGATTGGAAGATTAAACTGTGATATATAACATCTGGTTGGAAGATTAAACTGTGTTATATAACACCTGGTTGGAAGATTAAACTGTGATATATAACACCTGGTTGGAAGATTAAACTGTGATATATAACACCTGGTTGGAAGATTAAACTGACAATGTTTTTATGATCCCACAAGAGAACATTTTACCTAATTTTAAAATACAGTTTGATGTTTTAATTAACCTACTTGTATGAATGAGTTATCTATGCATGAAAAATGTAAGAAAAAGAAACAAGTACAAACATTGTATAAAGTATTGTGTGAAGTTACATTTTGTGTCTGTTCTACTTTAATATAAAGTAAATTGAAATAAAGAATTAATTTACACTAAGGAAATGTTCTGAAGGTAAAAATAGTTACATAAGAATTGTGCGCAAGGTTTTCAAGTCAGCAACTAGCCGATGTGTTTTTGGACCAAGTTGGTGCCATACAGGATCAAACTGAAACTTGATGATTTTCTCAAGTGATCTGGAGATGAAGTTTTCAAGAGTCAATTCATCTGTGTCGAGCTGTGTTAAACAAACAATAAATTAATACATTTTTATTTGTTCATTTTTGCTTAAAACTACTTAAGCTATCTTCACTAGCTTTCTATAATTTTAAAGTGGTACATTAGAGAGAAGGCAGGTAGTCAACGCCACCAATCCTTGGGCAGCTCCAAACGAAAAGTATGATTTAACCATCACTTTTGTAAAGCAACCAGTGCCCAAAAGTGTAAAAGATGATTTTTTTTAGACAGTAACCATGGAATCTTGTACATAGTGTGGCGTGCTAACCACTGAGCCATGCTCAGCTCTATAATTAGTCACAAAATATAGGTTATGATATATGATAAAAAGTCATATATACGTACTAAAGATTGTAATACAGCATGCTACTCAATACAGAAGAAGTTAAGGTTGAAATTTAGTTTATAAATTGTACATTTTTATGATTACCATTATATTATATTTATTTATTTAACAGCCGACTCATGAGAAATGGGACTTTATAACGTTTTGACCGACTTTTGAAAAATTGATTTATGGAGTCATATATTAGAACATCCTTTTTTTACAAAGTTCACATTTTGAAAGCCTGGACGAATGTGGATGTATTTTTCTCACACGAACTAGTTAAGGTCGCCGTTAAATTTAACATGGATACATTCCATTTAAACATTAAATAATTAATAGTAAATTACTAAGAACTCTTAATCAAAAATAAAAAGTAGCTTACAGAAGAAACGTTTGATACAATAAAAACTGTTCAGAAGTACTTCAAATCACTATTCAGTACATACGAAAACTAAAACCTGAAAACTGTTCAGAAGTACTTCAAATCACAATTCAGTACATACGAAAACTAAAACCTGAAAACTGTTCAGAAGTACTTCAAATCACAATTCAGTACATACGAAAACTAAAACCTGAAAACTGTTCAGAAGTACTTCAAATCACAATTCTGTACGTACGAAAACTAAAACCTGCAAATGCTAACCATTCTTTGAGTTGTTACTTAGACCTAAAAAATATTTTTATAAAACACCAAATTATCTCCAGCTTCATAAAACAAAAATTATGAAAGCCAAAATAAGATGAACCATTAATTATTTATGAAATAAAACAGCAGTTTTAAGCATACCTTCTAAAAATCATCGTCTATTTTCAGTGGAGCTCATCAGATAAAGACTTTATTACTCTTACATTAATTAATATCCAGTTGTTTTATTAAAAGCAAGGAAAAAGCCAGAAGCAAAATCTGAACAAGTGTTAAGAATATACCATGCTCGAATGATTCTATTTTACACAGAGAAATTACACTTATGCACAAACACCTGTTAAATAATGGCTATACAACTGATTTTATAACGAAGATTACATACAATTTCCTAAACAACAATTTAAACCACCAGCTAATGTACAAAATGTCTATATTTCATTTTCTTTTATGGGTTCACAATACCTACAAATTAAAAAAAATCTCTTCTCCTTAATAAAAACTCAGACTAATTTTCAGACCTAGCCTCAGACTAATACACAGACCTAGCCTTAGACTAATACACAGACCTAGCCTCAGGCTAATACACAGACCTAGCCTCAAGCTAATACACACAGACCTAGCCTCAGGCTAATACACAGACCTAGCCTCAGACTAATACACAGACCTAGTCTCTGAATTAAAAACGTATTTCAATACAAAGATCAAGTACCTAAACTTCTACGTTCATGGCTCGTGTATAAATATACGTGTAGTGACTGTAAGGTCACGTACATTGGCAAAACAAAACGCCACTTAAAAACTAGAGTCTGTGAACATTTAGGAGTACCTAATAGAAACGACAGTCCAAAAAATTCAAGAAAGTTTACTCTTATCTAAAAACTGCCCTACTCTTAACAACTTACAAACCTCTTTAAACCTAAAATCATTCTAAATTTACATTTAAAACTCAACTGTTTCACAATATGTCTATGATCTTTTGTTTTATTCCTCCAATTACCAGTTTACTTAATAACTAAGTAAACTACTGATTAATGACACTAAAGTTGTAGTTAATAAACATCTTTATAACAATATTTCCAATTACCAGTTTACTTAATAACTAAGTAAACTACTGATTAATGACACTATAGTTGTAGTTAATAAACATCTTTATAACAATATTTCCAATTACCAGTTTACTTAATAACTAAGTAAACTACTGATTAATGACACTATAGTTGTAGTTAATAAACATCTTTATAACAATATTTTCAGATGAATATGTATATTCTGAAATGTTCGAATCTTGTACATAAAATGTTTTGTGTTTTGTCAACAGTCTTTACCTTTATTATTACACTTGTATTTTTTATATTTTTGTACTGAAAACAAAATTGAGAAAAAAAAATGCAAAATCTGAAGCAGCCAAATCAGAAATATATTTTCAAAATTTTAAAATTTAAACAAAATCTTGAATTCAAGTTATTATCCTCTTTTAGTACCTAACTGTTTCATGGCCATGTGATTATCCTTGATAAAAATATAATATAGTAATATCTCTGGCTAATATATAAACACATTCTTTGATAACTAAAACCAGCCAAACAACAAATAACTTTTTGTTTTGTCTTGAAAGGATTAGCTTTAACAGTTATTTTTGTTTTAACGGCTCATGAGCACCACATTCCTTTAAATATACGTCAAAGTCTTTTCACCTTCAAATAAACTACTGATATAAGTTACTTACACGTAAAGGTTTTCTAGTGCCCAAGATTAACTCGGATGTTATTTTAATCAATGTTTAAAGTACAATATTTTCAAAAATACAAATAAGGAAAATATAATGAACAAAGTCATGATTTAATAATTTCTATCAACTTTGAATACTTTTATATATAATTACAACTGTCCTAAAATCAACTGCATTCAAACAGAAAGGTTTTCATCACTGTTATCTGTGAAAGAGGGCTAACTTTATTGTGGATGATAAACATTAATTTCATACACGTACGATACAAAGAGTTGCTTGTAGTAGTGATTAGTTACTGTCCAAGATGTATGATAATCACTGTAAAAATAATTAACGATTCTTACAGCCCACTTATACCATCACTTTGCTTCTTTGATAGGACATGGCTATAAATATCTCTATCACAAGAATATAGAATACTTATTTTTGATTAAAATTATTACCAATTTATCAACCTAAGATTCTACTAACTTTTAACACTTTACAATAGGCCAGCAGCACAGCTAAATATAACACTTTACAATAGGCCAGCAACAGAACTAAATATAACACTTTACAATAGGCCAGCAACAGAACTAAATATAACACTTTACAACAGGACAGCAACACAGCTAAATATAACACTTTACAATAGGCCAGCAGCACAACTAAATATAACACTTTACAATAGAACAGCAGCACAAGTAAATATAACACTTTACAATAGGCCAGCAGCACAACTAAATGTAACACTTTACAATAGGTCAGCAGCACAACTAAACATAACACTTTACACAGATTCATAGATAATATCTTAAAGTATAACAAAAATGTTAAAAAATAATAATTGGTCGGCTTGGGGTATCTTACGTACTTTTAGATTAGCTGTATCTTCAATAACTTTTACACTTGATTAACATTCATAGAGTTACATTTGTAATAGATGTAACTCACAGGTTGTAATACTTGCAAACAAAGCTGGTTGCCATAGAAATAATACTAATACAGTAGATAAATGGGTTTACATTAGGTTATTTACTTGTGCTTCTGGCCCATCGTAAAGTGTATTTACTTATACTGTCTCATTGTAAATTGTTATATTTACTTGTGCTTCTGGCCTATTGTAAAGTGTTATGTTTACTTGTTGTGCTGACCCATTGTTAAGTGTTATATTTACTTGTGCTACTGGCCTATAGTAAAGTGTTATATTTACTTGTGCTGCTGGCCTATTGTAAAGTGTTATATTTACTTGTTGTGCTGGCTCATTGTTAAGTGTTATATTTAGTTGTGCTGCTTGCCTATTGTAAAGTGTTATGTTTAGTTGTGCTGCTGGCATAATAAGTCTGTATTACGCAAGTAAAACACGGCAACGAATGAATATATCAGATAAAAAAAATTAATAGTCAAATAGTTGTAATAACCGACTGGTGAAATGTGACTTACTGTTGGATTAATCTTTTTAAGTTCCTTCACACAAACATCCATCAAGTCCAGGAGAGACATCTGTATGGCTTGCATTGAGGTTGTCATGGTTACATGAATCTCTATAACATCTGGCTGTGAATAACAAGAAAAAATTTGTGTTTAATCTTTCTAATCGACTAATATTTCTCTTATACAAATACACAGACACAGTAGAGTATTATAAGACTTATTTTAAGTGAACAAATCATAACTGGACAATATAAGAGTAAATACATACAAATAATATACACATTGATGCAAAAGAGGAAAAACACACAGATAATACACTCTATACATATACATTAATGTAAAAAATAATAAAATACGTAAATAATACACACTATACATATACATTAATGTAAAAAAAGATAAAATACACAAGTAATACACTCTATATATATACATTAATGTAAAAAAATAATAAAATACGTAAATAATACACACTATACATATACATTAATGTAAAAAAAGATAAAATACACAAGTAATACACTCTATATATATACATTAATGTAAAAAAATAATAAAATACGTAAATAATACACTCTATACATATACATTAATGTAAAAAAAGATAAAATACACAAGTAATACACTCTATATATATACATTAATGTAAAAAAATAATAAAATACGTAAATAATACACTCTATACATATACATTAATGTAAAA